TACGGGAAAATGTGTTATATTTTACAAGATCCTTTAAACTGTTGAAAGTAGAACTAAGTTATAAAGATGATGACCATTTAGTACATACAGCTGCAAAACACAATAAGACACAAACTTAATTAAGAAAGAAAAAAAAAAACCTTACAACAAGGTCGTTGGTCGAGAATTTTTACAATCGGATACTGTTCTCATTATCTTTATTTATGTGTGAGGCAAGTTAAGCGAGTCGACTTGTTTGAGATCATTAGCGACGAAAACTATAGAGTTACAATGCTTCTGTGTAATCATTTTCTGCCCCCTAATCTATGACCTTGATTTTCAACGCCACATTTGTTTCAGAATCTGCCACTGAAAGGGCTGTATCCGCTGTTGATACCTATCTACGTATTTTATTTTTTCAGCTTTGATAATCTCTGGTAGTTTTGAACGGCATATTAATCTTTGTTTCTCGAAAGAAATATTCCGGTGCAGTTTTGTTCCTTCATTATATTTATTTCTGATTTAATATGAAATTCATAGATTGTGTTTCTAACAGTAAAAAAATCGGATGTGTACACCACATGACTTCCTTGCATGGAATAATAAATTATGCGCATTTTTCTTGTATTTCATTTAAACTTAATGGATTGAATTAAATCTACTTTGTCGATAGCGCATAAACCACAATAGAACAATGCACTCTTTAAAATTCACTGTATTTGTTTACCATAGCGACACTCTGGCGCTAGGTTCACTTAACAGCGTTACATTTCATTCATTTTATAACTACTTGAAACTAAGATGAATACTGGTTCATTCCGCAAAGCGCGACTTTACCAGTTTTTCATTTCATTTTATAACTCAGAATGCACAAAATTTATATCATATGAAGAATTATCTAATCGTTGCCACATGTTCTATTCAAATACTATAATAAATCTAAAACGATATATAAAAGGAAATAAACAAAACAAAACAAAAAAAAAGTTTTTTACAGACGATTCAGTATTTCTCATTCAATTAATTTAGTTCTCACTTCGCGACAAGGCAAAAATACATAAAAACTCAAAATATCTATATTAAAAATTACGAAGTAAATCTTAAACACTTATTTCGTCTAATAAATTCCAGAATGTAGTAAGCATGATTTAATTCGCAGTAATGAAAGATTAATATATAAAAGAAATTAAACAAATAAAAAAGAAACATTTTTCGCTGATGATTCAACACCGCTTACCTAATGCGCATGCGCTGCTAATTAATTCCCTTCGTGGCAAGGCAAAAATACATAAAAATTCAAAACATTTTCATTAAAACTTGAAAGATATAAAAAATAAAACACCAAGTATAGTTAAAAGAATTTAAAAAAAAAATTTACAATTAAAATGACAAACACACAAACAAGCTAATAACTTATATGATAATTTCAGAATGAATTAAGGATAATTTAACTCGCAGTAATAAAAAAGACGTTACTTTGATGTTGCAAAGCTTAGTTTCTCTAGATTGGCAATAAATCGACTATTCTGTAAGTTTCAAATGTAAACAACATGGCGGCCATGGTAATGAAAAATTAGGCTTAGTCGCAATTAGAAAACTTTTAAATTGTTGATAATTCCACAATTTATGCATGCAGCTTAACTAAAGGCATAAAATTCTTAACCAGAACAACATAATTTATCATTTTTAAAGCAAAAAATGTACAATTTATATCATATAATAATAAAGAAACTGAGATCAGTGAGCCGAGTAAGAGAGTAAATATATATATATATATATATTATAAAAGTAAGTAAGAGTAAATATATATATATATATTTACTCTTACTTACTTTTACGTAGAGTAAGAGAGTAAATATATATATATATATATTATATATATATATATATATAATATATTATATATCAATAATTTTATTCAATTTGACAATTACATCTATAAACAAGTTCAGGGAATACCTATGGGCGGGAATTTTTCAACTTCAGTTTGTGAATTATTCCTGTTCACTAAAGAACTAACCTATGTACGTTCACTCAGAACGGAAGAAAGTCTCTTTTTCCAACACATCTATAGATATATTGATGATGTCATAGCATTTAATAACTACAACAAAATAGAAAACGCTAATATCTACCCTGCTTGCTTAAAACTTAATAAAACCAATACAGAACAGCATGATGTAGTCTACCTTGATTTACATATTATTGATTACCGTTTTATTAAAGTTTACGATAAAAGAAGAGAATTTAATTTTTCCACACTTAAACTCACTAACTGGAATTCAAATATTTCCAAAAGAGTAATAATCAACACAATTTATTCACAGCTACTTAGAATGAAAAGAATTTGCAATACTGCGGAACACTTACAAGAAGAAATACTATATACTTCGTAACTATTTTAAAAAGTAACCAAATACCACATAAAATAATTAAAAATTCCCTTACCAAAGCTGGCATTAACCTTACCTAATTATAGATTTTTTGAGTTAGATAATGATTTTTTATACCTAAAGCTACGGACGGTTTAAGAAGGATGACTAATTCAGAGAATCTATTGTAAAAATGTACAGAAAATTCTTGTTTATTCATTCTCTTTCCTCCAAAAAAATTTTGGCACTTTAATCTTAAATACTATTATGTACATATTTTTAAATTTAAATTTCTTTAGTGGCCAATTTTACTGCTTTTATTAACAAATCGGGCTTTTTTTCATTTTTCATAGTAGCTTGATCGCCCGCTAGCTTGAAGAATTACGACTTTTTTAACAAATTACTGTTTTTTCCTTTTTCTCATGCTTTAATGGCCAAGTTTTTATAGTTTTAGCTGAATTTGCCATTTTCACTTCAAAAAATTTTTTCCATCCTACTACAAGCCAAGCGCCATTTTTTGAGCTCTTCACACGGTTTCCGAGGTTTCCGGCCCCCTCCGATAATAGGAGACGAGTTACAGATAACGAAAATCACTTCGCATTGGCTAAACGCCCACAACACTTCGCTCCCCCCTACGTTCGTCATCCAAAATAAGACGCTAGAAGTTAGCAGCCATTTTTCTGCATGTTTTCAGAGGGACAGCTTTACATCGCCAAAGGTCAGTTTTTTGTTTCTTTTGTTACAACTTTTTCTTGGTCTTAGCAAGACCCACTGAGTTGTTCTTTTCTCAATTTTTTATTTTATATTGATTATTAACTACAGGTTTTCTTACAGTTTTATAAAATCTATTTTTTAAAAATAAAATTGTTAATCTTTAAGCTTGCAGGCCCAGCCCGAATGTATTTGTATTTTTAGGACTAATAGCTCATCGCTATTATTTTCGTTTGATTTTAATTTTAGACTAGATTTAGAAAGTTTGATTTTGATTAACATATTTTAACACCTTAATGTGTCATTCTGAGCGGACGCGTCGGGAAATTGGAACAGAGAATTCAGACTATTAAAATTTCCAAGACACTTTGTCTAAAAAATTTTTTAGCGAAAAAGTTTCAATTGTCTGTTTCGGCGAAACGCGTAATGGAGTTAGCTTGATTCGACGTTCAAATAAATGAAATTTCCCTTGAAAAGCCTGTTTGGATGTCGAATTGGGCTAATTTACCATTTTCCGCTTACTTTTTAACTTTTTCTGTTTTTTAATTTTATTGTATTTATGTTTTTATATGTCTAATGATTTGCTTTTCATGTGTATTAATTTTTGAAAACGTCTTAAACCTTTTGGAGCAGCAGCTCTTGGTAACTTTTAGGCGAGCTTTCTACAATTTTTATTTTTTACTTATTTTGCAGCATATTGCGCAAGATGTTTTCTTGACCAAAATGGTTTTTTTTCAAAAATTGTTATTACTGCTTTGCTTGATAAATATTATATTATAAAAATATATACATATATTTTTATACTTTTGGTGGGACCGATAGCAACCAAAATACGAGGTGCACATCTACATGTTATAGCAGTCCTATATACAAAATTTCAACGTTCGTGGCTAGTCGTTTTTGAATTATGCGAGATACGTACGTACGCACAGACGCGACGGATATTTCTCTTCAGAATTCATTTTAAATCAATTTAAATCAGTTTTTTAATTTTTTGAGGGAAAGGAGTCTTCTATTCTGTCCTTATTTACGGATGTCACGCAAAAATACCGTTAAATTACATTCGATAGCGTTCAAAATGGATATTTTCGTTGAAATATGATGTCTTGAAGTATTTCGCGATTATAATACTTCCTTTTTATTTCGTACAAAGAAGTAAAAAGTGTTGATAAAATAATGCGTATAGTCTTCCTTTATCTAGTTTGACAATTCGTATTCATTGCACAATTTTAACAAAAATCGTCTCAATTTCAGAATTGCTGATTAAAATATTTAGCCTTTAAAAATTACTTTAAGAAAAGCTATGTGTGTTTTTTAATGTAACCTGAGGAATCTTGATATTTTTTATTATAAAATATAATGGTAATGTAATAATAATAGCAAAAGATGTGATTATATTAATATATGAATTATGGATGTATATCACAAAGTAATTGTTAAGATGTACCTATTTCTTATTTATATTTTATTCAGGTTATCCTTCAGTAAATAGGTCCACCAGCAGCCGAACTCTTCGCTAAACACTGGTAGTTCGGTCTCGGACACAACCCTTCCCCCCCCCCAAACGGGCTGGCTGCATGGACGTTTCGTTTTCATGATTTTCCCTATGTGTAAGGTGTATATGAGCTAGTTTTCCTTACAAAGTCCTCCAAGAAGGCATCTGTTCCCTTAGGCAGATAGCCATCGAGTGCTTGCCATAACGCAAATAAACTAAACCAAACCTTCAGTAAATAAAATTTATATTTTTATTACATACTATTTACTAGCTATAGTGTTATGGAAGTACATTTATAATATGGGAAAGATGGAATTTTTTAAGATGGAGTTAATAAGCTGATTAGGCAATAAAAATTTAGAATTTTTAATGTTTAGTTGAACAAACATCTTAGCGATATCATAAAATAGTGACAAATATTTTATCTTCTTTTGTCTCCTTAGATATAGATGAATGCACACGATACCGTGGGCAAGTATGCTCGAGTGTGTCCGAGTGTGTTAATACTCAAGGATCCTATGAATGCATCTGTAAGGAAGGTTTTAGGAAAGCGGATGACGGTAAAAATTGTATAGGTAAGATGTATTTAATTTTCTTTAGACTTTCAAGTGTTATTACTGTTTTGTTTATGAAACAAGACAGGGGCGACGATCATAGGAAGTTACGAATTTCTAATGAAGTAGAGAGCGCAAATAGATTTAAAAAAACTGATTTCATTCATTGGAGCTAGGGTAGACAAAAGGAAGCAATTTCAGACAATCTGATAATTCTAGAAGGCAAGTCAACTGAAGGAGAAACAAAGTCAAGTCTCTCCTTCGGAAAATGCATTTAAAAATGTGAACAATATACCCAAACATTGGCTGACAGTAACTTGATGTCTAGGCTGTAAGGATTATGTTATTTTTATTAAAAGTTAAATTTTAAGTTCCTTTCCTGTCAAATTCTAAACTTCAACTTACTACTTCCGGCCAGAAGTTTCCGGAGTTTTAGAATCACTCTGAATACATAATGAGGAAGAGCGGTATTTAACTGCGAAGTTCTTTGGTCTTAGCGAGAGAAGTTAGCAGAGTATTCTGATCTGCACGTGCCCGCCTTTTCAGGCTACTCTCTCGTAAGCTGATTATTACGCTCAGCTCTATTTAGGCCCTTGATAGCTTCGCTAGTCAATTAGCAGTTAAGGAGACCATCTCGGTTAGAATCTTGATAGCTTCGGCTATATCTCTTTAGTTTAAAATTAGTTTTATTTTATTTCTTAGCCTCTTAAGTTCAAGCCCAAGTGTCGGCTTTTATTGTACATTCCAAGACAGAGGTCTGTTAAATCTTATTTGAATAATAAAGGGTTAGTTACCCTTCCATCTTGTTGTTTCTTGTCACACGAACTTAAGCGATTATTCTCTTAGCAGTTCTTAAGATTCTTCACTTTCTGCAGTAACTGAGAAATACACAAGTGAGAATTCCACAAGGCTTTTCAAAAATCTAACAAATGTTGAGTGAATTTAATTAAAATATCACGCTGAATAACAATCAAAAACAAAGTCTAACATTAAGAATCAGAGTAATTTTTTTAAATTTTTAGGCAGTACTAGTATCGATAGTTTTTTAACTGGCTTCTTCAGCTGCTTAAGTGCAAATGAAATCACATTTTCATTTGCGTTTAAACAGCTGAAGAAGGTAGTTCAAAAAACTATCGAAAGTAGAACTGCAATTTTTTTAATTTATGTTATTTCTTAATATTGGACTTTGTTTCTAATTTTTGAAATGTTTAATGATTGAGTTTGTATGCTGTAACGAAAGTGCTTATAAATAAATCTCGGAAACGTGAGTTCTTTTCTCCTGTGAAGTGTTGACTATATGGCTGGGCGTGACAAAGCTAGACAACTTAGCAAGGTGATTGGGGAGTGGAAAGAGGAAACTTCTAAATCCTCTAATGCTCGTCATTGTTGATCAAGAACCCCCATTTTTCGTTTCACTGTAACTAAAATTATTCAAAAAAATATCTTCTGTTGAAGAATTAGATTTCCCATATGGATTTCATTTTCATAAAAATCTTTTAACTTTGGTTAATGATCCCAGTTTTAATTCCACATTAGGCCATATTTTCAAGAATGTGTTTCTTAGTTGCTCTTGTTTTCCCTTTCAGTCAATAGGTAGTCCTAACACTTTTATTTTCTATCATTTAGCTCGAAATATAATCAAATTTCTCTCTTGTTTTCATACATGCTCATGTTTTCTCTTTGTCATTTCCCTCTCGCAATTTAGAAAGAACATTCGCTTAACTTACAAAACTAAAGGCTTGAAATTTACTTTATTTACATTACATTTATTTCTGTTACTTATTCTTAATTACTTCAGCTTTCAACTTCATTTCATTTCACTCATAAAAAAAGTAAATTAGCGTCTGAATCCCTGAAAGAATGCTAAGTAAGGCCATAGGCATCTTAATCAAGCGTTGCTATGTGATATAAACTTTAGAAATCTTGTAATATCCTAATTTTCGCTGCTTCTTTAAAAATTGCAAATTTATTCACACAATAAATCAAACAACATACATACAAAACAGCGTTTAATAACTATGGTTTAGTCAGTGCTATGGAAATCATGTACAGGGAAACATTTCTGTTCATTGACTGAAATAAAAACAACTTTAAAATCTCTTTTATTTTTGCGATAAAATTTCTTTAAAGAATAAAATAATAACAAATGAAACTGATTACATTTATAGTAATCAGTTATTTGTATTTTTGCTTCGTTTCAGATATTGATGAATGTGCGTCGTCTCCAAACATCTGCCAACACACCTGTAATAACGTATGGGGTTCTTACCAATGTACTTGCAATCAAGGATACACTTTGAATTCAGACAATAGATCCTGCCATGGTAGGTTTTGATTGTTTATATATGTTTGACTGTTTTTATGGATTTTGTAGCTCCTCTAAATATAAAGCAAACCGTATGGTTTCATATTTCTAAACTCAAACTTGTATTCCTCACCCTCTTAAATGACTCTCATACCTTAGGGTAAATTTATGCCTCAACATACATTTTACGATAACCAAACAGAAAGTAAATCGTGACTAAACAATTTTCCGATAACCAGTGTCTATACTTATACATTATAAAGTAATTACCATACTTACTAGTACAATATCTCTCCCTTTCATTCACTAATTTTACCACTTGAAACTTGAGAGAAGAAAATTATGTGGCGTATATTATTTTTGGAGAAGTAGGCAATGTAAAAGCAAATATATGGTTAAAAAGCATAGGTGAACTATTTATTAATGCTAAATATTGCTTTAAATGCTAACTGCTATTTGCTCAATATTAACATCCTTTGAAGTACGAATATAAACAAAATCTCTTATTAAACTATCTGATAAGTATAATAATAATTTTTATAGGAACTATGGAAAACGCAAAATATAGATCTTCGATGATTATATCTTATTAGTAGTAGCTGGAAAGCTGCCACAAGAAAAGATAATGAAGAAATCTTCTAGTGGAACATGGTATATCTGCAAAACATTGTGTGTCTTTAGAAGCTTTTCATCGATATTTCTTGTAGACTGAACCACCAACGAACGAGCTGTAAAATGTTTGAACACTTTGTAGTTCAAATCAACTTTAAATTCCTGAGTGTGTTATATAAATAAAAGCAAGTTTCCCTTTAAAACGTCCTCTACGAAAATATCTCTCCCCCTTAGGCAGATAGCCCTTGTCCACTTTCTCGTAATCCATCCTTCTTGCAGATTTAATCTCTATAGTGCGCCCTCCATTTTATTATTTGCCTCCACTGCTAAGGAGAATGAATGGCCTTGGCTAAAATTCTGAATTTAAATAAAGAGTTTAGGAAAGGATGTGCGAAGAATACCAATATGAGAAATTGAAACAAACTGCTCAGTGTGGAAGAATTTAGTTCCTGAATTCAGGCTGTCAGTTAAAAATGTGCAAGTATTGCAAATCATATGTGAAGAATATTACGGGGAACAATACGCTACGCAAGCAAATACTGTACATCTAAGTAGTTTGATAAATAACGAAAAATTGTTTGCAACTGCAATAACCGTCAATAACCACTCTTTGTAGCGTTCAACAAAACTTCTAGACTATATGGTTTCCTAATGACTCTCAGCTTTTACCTAATTCCTGAAACGGTGAACGTAAAATCCACTTATTCGTCAATCAGTAAACTTAAGTCACCAGAGCGACAATTACAAGATAAAGGAAAACCGCTTAAGTTGCTTAATCAAAGAAGGAAAACCACGTGATAATTTTGAGGAGAAGGCAGAAAATGGCCTTGTCAGAATACTGCAATATGCATCTCTATCGCATTTGTCTTCTTTTGTGTTACCGTATTTCTTAGAACTAAAATGATAGGCCTTTATTTTGCTAAAAGTGGAGAGGGTGTTAAAATCAATGGTGTTTCATAATCACAGATTTTTTTCGAATTACTAATTATTCCGAGATAATAAATATTTCCGAACCTCTAATAGAGAAAGAAGTATTATTGTCGTTAACAAATCAAAGTAGATTATTAAAAAAGTATTTGTTATATGTAATTTTAGTGTTTGATTTCATACATATTTTTTAGAAACAATTATTTTTCTTCATTGATGAGACCAAAATTAAAAGGCTCGCTTAGAACCGAAAAATGGGTATTTGCGTTTTCTAGAAAGACTCGGCTTATCTTAGACGTAAACTGTAGCACATTTGTCAGTATTGGAATTACTACCAAAAGGTAAAATAAAACTGAACGATCTTTATCACGAAATAAAATTTAAGATATTATTACGAATTTTGTACATGCTTTCTTATTTACCACCAGCTGAGTTGCTGTACTGCCTGTTATATGAGTATCAGCATTTGTACTCAACTGGTGGAGCATTTTTTTTCGCTAAGCCTAGCCAAAAATCTTTATAAAATATTGAAATTTAATTAAAAATCAAATAAATTTGTATCTGAATTTATAAAGTTGCTTCGGAAAATAGGTATTTATGACCTGTGGTTATTGAAGAAACTCTGTTAAGATTTTGCTGAATGATTTTTTTTTTTTTTAGATTGCTTTTAGATTTTCGCAGTTCTTTGTCAGGTAGTCTACAAGAGTTTTTAAGTTTGTTTCGTAGTAGCTTACTCTTTTGAAGTTGTTTCGGCCATGCCTGGGTATTTTCAGCTGTGTAAGGCCGGAAACGTAGGTCTTTGGTGCTTTCACACTCGAACATATAGTGATGATGGTACCCGTTGAGCCGCATATTAAATGTCCTCCTGCCTGTTAGTTCTTGTGTCCAGTTAGTTTTCCACAGAAGACATAAGGTCCTGTTCCAGTCTTGATTTAAGATGTGAAAATGAAATTGGGAGAGAAATGGTTGGGACAAGTTGTCCATTTGCACTATCTCTTTCCAGCTGGTCGGCTGCTTCATGCCCACTGTGCCCACATTAGCGCATGTCCAGTGAAGCTTAAGACGGGTTTTCTCTGGGAAATAGGATAGTAAACGTTGGATTTCCCTTACTAGAGGCGAGCGGCTCAGTCCGATTATTGCCTGTATGCTTGAAGCACTGTCGGAAATTATAACGCTTTTTTTCTTGTTGTTTCCTGGCAAATTTCATAGCTTCTCTAATGGCTAACAGTTTAGCTTGGAATACAGATTTTGTACATAGACAGATGATTTTAGTGCAGTTATATGTGAAACTGCTGTATTTTTCCGCGTAATGTAACAATCTAGAGAGATAAGAGATAATCTAGAGAGATAATCTAGAAAAATCTAAAGAGATAAGCTACGCCGGAAAAGCAAGAATACAGAAGCAAGTCCATTTCACATAGAGTAAATGAGTATCTCGGTAATTTGGCAAGATACTGCCAAGCTGGCAGTGGTCATAACAATTAATTGTATCGCCAAATTTGGCGAGAATTTTCCATAAGTCGCCAGAGTTGGCGACCTATTGGAGACATGTTGGTTCGCTTTGTATTATCATAATAGGTATTGTAAATGAAGAAATGTAATTAATGACTACATTAGCTGCAACCGTAATTCGACCCCATATTCCTTACCAGTAATTTCGAGAAGCAGTTCTGGAAATATCTCGGTGCCTGGTGTAAACTATAAGGCCGGAGAGAGCATCTGCTTCTGTTATTGTTGTTATTGTTGCGAGTTGTTAGTTCAGCGTGAGATGGAGTACTGAGATATGTCTGGGTTAGCTTTCTGTTTAGATGAGCTTTGCATTGCCTTGTGTTTAACATACTTAGTAGTTTGAAGTGTAACTGCTGATTGTACTCGGTGATACTGTGAACACATGTACAAATATATCTGCGGAAAATTTCAGAATTTTGAAGTGTTTCTTTTGATAAAATAAATATTATCAATCTATCATCGAATTTGTGTGCATTCAATCTATTACGAACCCGTACGCACGCAAAAATATTCTTAGGCGGAAATGTATAAAAATGACTATAACGTAAGGAAATCAAATTATAGTAAAATGAAAGGTAATTTTTATGAAATTAGATTATTTTACAGCATTTAAATACATTTACTTTGATTTTGATCAGTTGCAATACCCTAAAGCTTTAAAGATGATGCAAATATCTATGCAAAGAAATAGATACAAGAAAAGAATGCCATCTTATACTCAGTGTAGCGTTAGGAAATGAAATCCTTACTTCATTTAATAAGAAATTAACTTTTACATTTTTTTAGAATAATCCTCTGCAGAATTCAAAAGAACACTATACAAGTATCTTTTATTTAGCGAGTAAAATTATTTTGTATTTTAAGAAAGGGTTTGACGGCACCATAAAGGAAAACACAAGAAAAATCGAATAACTAACAAATTACAATACAGAGAATAAATGTAATATAAATTAAATGAAAGAAACGAAGATGTGTAAAAACGTGTAAAAAATACCAAGAAACCAAGAAGTAGTACATCAGTTTTAAAAAAACTAAAGATAGAAAACTAAAATGAAACAGAAGTAAATTGTTAAAAAACCAGGTTAATAACTCTAATAATAGACGAAAGAAAAACATGCGAACTTAAATTTTAAAATTCAGCAAAATTCAATCTTAAATCGGCTTAAATTTACGGAATGTTTCATCCATTTCGAGAGAATTTGACATAAGTCTTTCTTCTTCAAATTATGTTATATGCCCAGTGAATAATTCTAAAGGAAATTTTTCAAAATTAGCTGGATACATTTTTAGAAAACTTGCGTTTATTGAACAAAGAGAAACTTGTGACAAATTCTGTCGAAATACATTTTATAACACCAAAAGCACAGTACCAAGAAGGAGTTATAAATGAGACGAAAATCAGTAGATCTGATGTACATATATTGGAAACAAACCGCTAGCAGTATCATAAGAAATTAATGTTTTATTCAGGAAATACAGCTACAAAAGCAAAAATATAATAATGTATTGGCCCACCTCTAGTCTTCATGCAAGCTGTTATCCGGCTGAGAATTGACTCTTAAGAACTGGTAGATGTTCTCCTGCGAGATTGCTTGCTGTACGTATTCTAACTGGCGTGTTAGATTGCTGTGATCCACGCGCCTGCTTATCACATCCCACACGAGCTGTAGTGGGGAGAGATCTGGCGATTACACCGATTAGAACAGTGTTGAAGAAGCCCCCCCCCAAAAAAAAAGCAGTAGAAAGGTGTGCTCTGTGCGACTAGGCATTCTGCTACTGTAAGCCCAGGAGAAAGGATGGGCAGCACTATGGAGCGTAGAATCTCATCGAAGTACCTCCGTTGTGTAAGGGTGTCACAGATGGCAAACAAATTGGTCCGGGTATCAAATGAAACTGCTTCCCATGCATACATGCATAACTTCTGGTTGTAGGACTGTGTAATGGACGAAAAGTAGATGAGTATTTTATCACTATCTTGGACGTCTCCAGACATGTCTTCGCTGGTCATCGGGACTCACTTCGAAGCGGAACTTATCGCTGAAACAATTCTATTCTACTCCTGTCCGTGCTATCCCAAACTACTCAACAACATTATAGACCTGCCTAACAGTGTGCAGCGGTGATGGACACTTGGCGTGATTTCCTTCGTGACCTCAAGCCCGTTCGCTGAGTCGCCTATCAGTGGTCATTACAGTCACTGGTATCCCGGTTCCCCTTCGGATCGTTGATAGGGACACATTAAAGTCTGTCAGCACCAAACTCTTTCCTCGCGTTCTATCGCATTTTTTGTCGACTGCTTCCTTCTGGACGTTCTATACGGTTCACCATTCCTGCCAACATTATCGAATGGTAACGTCGCTTCGACCCAAATGTATAGCTAACCGGCGATTTGGCCGCCCTGCTTTAGTCCTATTCCACGTCCTTTCTAAAATGGTGACATCTACTCATCCCGTTCGCGTACCCGTTTGCGAAGTAGTGGTACAGTCCGCTTGAGTCGACGGAACCACGTTTTCATAGAAGTTATGCCTTAGCATTTGAAGATCCTTTTTACTTCCTTGTACGAAGTAAAAAGGAAGTATTGTAATCGCGAAAAGTTTCAGGCAGCATATTTCAACGAAAATATCCATTTTGACCGCTATCGAATGCAATTTAACGATGTTTTTGCGTGATATCTGTACGTAAGGACAGAATAAAAGACTCATTTCCTCCAAAAAAATTATAAAACTGCTTTAAAATTAATTCTGAAGAGAATTTTTCGTGGCGTCTGTACGAAAGTATGTACGTACGTACTTATCTCGCATAATTCAAAAACGAGTAGGCTCAGAACGTTGAAATTTTGTATATAGGACTGCTATAACATGTAGATGTGCGCCTCGTACTTTGGGTGCAATCGGCCGCACCAAACGTATATAAATATATTTATATATATATACACTCTGTTACCCGGCTCTGTGATCTCAGTTTCTTTACTCTTATATGTTTGTAAATTGTACATTTTTTGCTTTAAAAATGATTGAATTATGTTGTTTTTATCTTCCGGTTAAGTTTTTATGTAATCTTTAGTAAATCTGCATGCAATATTTGTAGAAGTTATCAACAAATTTAAAAGTTGTTTAAGGGCCGGCTAAGCCTAATGAATTTTGCGATGGCGGACCATTGATTTGTTTACATTTCAAACAGCTTGGCAAAATAGCGATTTTTATTGCCAATCTAGAGAAACTTAAGCTTCGCAACAACAAAGATAACGCCTTCATTTAATATTGCTGCGAATTTAAATCATGCTTAATCCATTCTGGAATTTATTTCGAGGAAATAAATGTGTTTCAAGATTTACTTCGTAATTTTTAATATAGATATTTTGAGTTTTTAGGTATTTTTGCCTTCTCACGATGTGAGAACTGAATTAATTGAATGATAAATACTCAATAGTCTGTGAAAAACTGTTTCTTTTTTGTTTTGTTTGCTTAATTTTTTTATACATCATTCTAGCTTTATTATAGTATTTTAATAGAACATGTGGCAACGATTAGATAATTCTATTCTTTAAATGATATAAATTTTGTGTATTATGAGTTATAATATGAACGAAATATAATACTGTTAAGTGAATCTAGCGGCAGAGTGTCGCTATGGTAAACAAATACTATAGTGAATTTTAAATAATGCATTTATTCTATTGTGGTTTATGCGCTGTCGGCGAAGTAGATTTAATTCAATCCAATAAGTTTAAATGAAATGCAAGAAAAAATGCGTATAATTTAATATTTCGTACAAGGAAGTCATGTGGTGTACACATCAGAATTTTTTTTTTTTCATACGCCAACCGGATTCTCCGTCGAATTGTTGTGGAGCTGCAGCTAATAAGTCACTGACTACCAAAGGTTAATCATTTGCATAGTCTATCGTAAGGTATGAACATAAGCAATTTCGGCACGTTCGGATAATTCCTTGTTGGTGTATCTCTTTATAGAATTATTAAAAGCAGTTTAAAACTAAATTTTACCTAATTTTAGAAAATTTCAGAATCTTAATATTAGTCAGATAATTAATACTTTACATAATATGCTCAGAAATTTTATTTTTCTTTCGAAGCCAGACTACAGGTTCGTAAATAAGCTTATAAATAAGCGTTTTAATTGCTGCTTTTGCTAAAATCTATTTCTCATTTTTATTTTCGATTTTTTTTAATTCATTTTAAATTTCTCTAAATTAAAATGGAATCTTTCTATTATACTTAAAAATTTAAATAAGAAGGTTTCTTCTTAAAATTAGTTTAAATGAATACAATTTCGAGAAAATTTTTAAACAGTTTTATGGAATATATTTTTTGCGAATACTACCACAGAAATGTTAAATGTTTTCATTTAAATAAGATATGTAATTGTATTTTTACTTATAGTTCCAATTCTTAACAAATTTATTTTCAGATATCGACGAATGTAAGATGTGGGAAGGTCGAGGCAATCTTTGCATCGGCTTCTGTGTAAATGAACCTGGATCTTATTCCTGCACCTGCCCATCAGGGTATAAATTATCCTCAGACAAAAGGACTTGTCAAGGTAAGAGAACCAATACTTTAGTATTACTAACATCAAGAAGAAGCCGAACCTTTTTTTCGTTGGAGATATTTTGTAATGTTACAGATGATATGAAACAGGATTTCTATAATCCATTTTCATAATCTTTTTTGTTTCAATTCCCTACCTCTTTTTCAATTTTTTTTTTTTTCCTTTTCTGTTCATCTTGTTGGATTTTTCACTCCTACCTACTCCTCGAGCAACAAATTATTAGCTACTGAGCTGTACTCATTAACAGAAATTCGCTATAATATTTTGGTTAGTCCATTAGCAATCGAGCAATAAAGTCGCCCATCACTGAAAGTTTGATCTAAATTCAAATTCTGGTTCGCGATCTGATTGTATGGGAGTTTTCATGATTATTGCCATATGTAACATGAATACGAGCCAGAAGACCTTAGAATAGCCCTTAGAAAATCCTCTAATGACGCGTCTTATCTGTAAACAGGATAGCCATCAGTTTGCTTTGCCTTAAACAATAAACCTAAACCTAAAATTATTGCCCTAGTGTAGGATTTTCCAAAGAGTGCGCCGCGGCGCTATTCCCAGAGGCGCCGTGAAGAGTAAACAGGGGCGCCGCAAAGCTCTCCTGTTTACTCTTTTACGGAATATAAATTCAAATTGTGTGCGCTGCCTAAATCAAATTCTTTTCTAGGCGACGCGAGAGATTTTCAGAAACCCGCATTCGACCGTCGCGTCGCATCGACAGGAGATGTCTCGAGAGCTCATCGCGATCACCGCATGCTCTGTGGACCCATTGCAACACCCACAGGAAAGCATTTGCATTGATGTCGATGAGCTGTGAATTGAATTTGGTATTGGGACGTATAATAGACGTAGTAAATTACCTAAAAACGAGGCCGCTGAAAGCCAAACTATTCAAAAACCTTTACATCGACATGGGAGCTGAACACTGTTATATTACTGCAGTTCAGCATGGCTTTCACGTGGAGGTGTCTTATCCCATGCATTCGAGCTACATCAAGAAATTCACACTTTTCTGCATGAGGAAGGACATGCAAAGTCCAAATACTTTCCTAAGCTTTTTACTAAAAGTGGCATATTTGTGAGATATATTTGGCGAACTGAATGCCTTAAATGAGTCTCTACAAGGCAATAATATCCACACCTTGAAACTATTGGAGAAGATTGCGGCGTATAGAAGAAAACTAAAGTTGTGGATAAGAAAAATTAATAAGGATGGCAGGCAAGATTGTTTCCACGTAATGCGTAAATACGTATCCTCTAATGAGCTCATTTTCTCTCAAAAATTGCTGTTTCGTTTCACGGAACAGCTTTCGAAGCCCACTGAGTGCTTTGGAAAATACTTTGAGGAAGTAAATATCGAGAAATATTCGTGGATCCAAAATCCTTTGTATGCTCACGCTCCATCAGAATTCACCTCACAAGAAGAGAAAGTCTCACTGAGCTCTCTCGATAACAGCCTTAAAACAAAATTCGCTTGTCCCGATTTGATGAAGTTTTGGATGATCATCAAAAATGAATATCCGACTCTTAAGTCCCAAAGCTTTAAGGATTTTCATTCCTTTTGCAACATCATATTTATGCGAAACCGGATTTTCAGCTGTAGCTCTAATAAAGAGCAAATATCGTTCATATATCAACGGGGAGCAAGAAATTATTGTGGGTGTCAAGTCTTATCCTTTGCTTTGAAAAACTTTGCGAAGATCAGCAAGCTCACAAGTCCAATTTATTATTTCCTATTTTTCTTTAAGAATGATAATATAATATTCTTGTGTATCAATTCAATATATACCTATTTGAGCCTCAAACTGTGGTTTTTTCATTTCTGTGCATGGCCACTAGTGTTAATAGAGTCGTATTTAATGAAGTGTTGTGATTTGCTATGACACTATGTAGTGGTTGTAAGGCACAAACCTTGTACAACACTTCCTTGAACACAACTAGGGCGCCGTGATAAAATAACAAAACTGTAAGCGCGCCGTCAACCGAAAAAATTTGGAACCTCTGCCTTAGTGAAATGAGCCATAAATTTGGGAAACAGGATACCAACGATTAAACATATATTTATTGCATATTTTTAGTTATATTAATAAACCTTGCAGAATATGCTGTTTTCTTATCATTGCACATACGCTGAAGGTTCTAAAGACATGCCCTGAGTTGAAAAGCTATGTTCTCTGGAGAGACTGGATTATAGTAAAACTACAGATCTGTGGTCTTGTGTTTAGAATTTAAAAGAATGTGAAAAGATTTAAAGCAGTCTTAAATCTTATTATCCATATGGGATCTTCATTCCTTTTCCACTGTATTGCATTTCGCTGATTCTTGTAAGTAATTATATTTGAGTTACTTGGCTGATTCTACTTATTATCTTTACTTGTGTTATGTTCTTCACTTTGTCTCGATCAACTCCAGCTCCTTAAAGAGCTTATACACTTTTTAAGTAAACTGCCTTTTCAATATTTATGTTTATAGACTAAATACGAACTACTAGTCATTCCTTAGAAAACGATCGCATGATTAACGTTTTCGATGGGGATTCTACACAGGCACCCCAGCGATACACCAATCCATCTCTCCATAATTGGAGGATGGATTGAAACATACAGAACTTTATATGTTTCCTCCGCATATATATTCAACAGACAAAAAAAATTGGACTGATAATATTTGGTATGATTTTTGAAAAGAAGCACTGCTGTAATATTTGTATAAGAGAGTGAATATTAAAAATAATTTTATAAAAACTTCTTAGGCAACCAAATTTTTAAGCGTGGTCGTATTGCTCATATGCTGATAAATGCCCAATTACTTCTCCCAAGACCAGAAGTGTCTCACTGTTTCTGAGATACCTCAGTGACTGTCGGCGAGCGGTAGCGCCACATCAGGAAGTTATGATATAAGAGTTTAATCCTCCAAGGAGAATCATCATCATTTTCATTCTCTTAAACACTTTTAGCTCACTACCTCCATTCCGAATTGTATTTTGTTAAGCGTCTCCAATCATGAAACATATTAGGTGTGTGTAATCTATAGGTACTGACTGAAAATGCTTAAAGATATTCAGAGATACATTACATTTGGTCTGCATGAAATTATTGCCAAAGTGTCATCATATTATTCATAAACAGAATTGTTACGATTAAAGATTTCTTAAAATATTTAGAGTAATGGGCCTGAAATCATGCGTAGAACCACAGTGCGTGCAGTGGTACATACCGAAAGAACATGCTACTTGGGCGTACTGGATAAGTCCGGATTTATTGTCATGTTTTCAAATTAGTAAACAGACAACTCCTAACTGTTGACAAATATTGCTCCTAATTGTTGGAATAGAAAATGAATGTGCCTTAAATCAGCTTGTCTGAAGGGTTAAATGTGTATAATTTGGGATGATTATTATGAAAATTCCTGATTGTTATATTTGTATAATCGAGTTAATGTTTAAATGTTTGTTTTAAAAGTGTTTAACCAATTAAGCTTGGTATCAATGCTTCTTTATACCACCTTGAATCAGTAACACCTCCCTATATTTCCTCAACGCCCACCAGTGGGTAATAATGATGGCTCGGGTTCAAAAGTCCTTTTAATTCTATGATACTCGATGAATGTTTTCCTTCCAGTGCTCAGTTTCTGTACACTTTTCAATATACAGTAGAGCCTCCCATCCAAACAGATCTCCATCCGAATCCGCGGCAAAAGCTTTGGACACTCACGGAACTAAAGCTTTTGTACGTTATCAAGCTGGAAGCATTTTGTCTTCCTGTTTGGAAGGTCCAGGACTTCAAGACTTATCGATTAATGTGACGTGTCCCTTAGCGGAGAACAGCTGTATTTGTTTACAGTGTTGATGTATTTCTTCATAACATGGACCAGTTGTTCCTAAAAATCACGACTAAAACTATCCTGGGTCCTGGAGTTTGAGAAATAAATTGTGTTCAAGCTTGGTCCTAATAATTTTGATCTTAAAACAGCTAATTCCTGAAAATCAAGATTTCCCTTCTTTAAAAAAAAAAAAAAAAAAAAAAAAAAAAAACTTCGAAGATCGAGATAGTGTCATCACAGCATTTCTAGAGTACTTTTTAACAAAGAGTACTTTTTGCAAATTTTTGAAAACTGCGTATCTTTTGCCTAAAAAACGCATATAGATTGGCAGCGATTAAGCTGAAGTATATTAAATACCTAAACTTCTAACGTGAAAAGAATTAGGCAAGTATTTAAATCATTTCTATTAACTTACGAAGACATGTTAACTTCTTCCCATAATATATCACTATATAACTGTTACTTCCTGATTTGTCTACTTTATAGCGCATTCTGAAACGAGTTTCGCTGAAATATTTGATTAAATTAAAAAATCCATATAACTAAGGTAACACCTTGAATTTTTACTCTTCACTTGAAAAATATGCATTCTGAAATTGCAGGAATGGAATATTTACTTGACGAGCTAACTATAAGCCGACTAACTATAACTACAAGGTAATCAAAAAAGTTCTTCCCGTTTCTGATATGACATTGGAAGAGTGAACCCCAACATAAAAATATTCGCCAAACTTGGCGACGAAGTGGTTAGGATGGGAATCCGGACATTGTCCAAGAGTATAAAAGCGCGTTGCACCGCTTCTTCAAACATAACTCACATAGCGACTAGTTGAAATGGACGTGTCAAAGGAGCTCGTTCGGAATTGTTTGCTGTATGATTTTAAAGTGTGCCTGTCAGCAGCAGAATCAAGTCACCGAATTTGCCAGACATTTGGGGATGATGCCGTTAACGAACAAACCGCAGAGCAATTGTTCCAGAAATTCAGATGAGGGACTATGTCTCTTGGTGATGCAGTCGTCCAGAAAGGCTGGACAATGAGGCCCTGAGAGCAGCCGTAGAGAGTAACAGTAGCCAAGCATGTGGCTCGGGAGGCCAGGGACACTATCTAGCGACTGGGCTGGGAGACACTATACCATACTCATATACCATACTCTTCAGACCTCGCACCAATACCATACTCAGACCTCGCACCAATACCATACTCTTCAGACCTCGCACCAACAGACTACCACCTTTTCCATTCCCTATACAACCATCTTCGTGGGAAATCCTTCAACAACCGGCCAGACTTTGAAAAGGCCCTTACGAACTTCTTTGCTCCAAGACTCCTGAGTTTTACCGCAATGGCATCGCAGAGCTAGACACTCGCTGGCAAAAGGCACTGGATGCCAATGGTGATTACTTTGAGTATTAGCGGTGATTATTTTTTGTTTTATGACTTTTCTTTCTGTTTGTCCAAAACGGCAAGGACGTTTTTGGTTATTTTGTATATCTTTCCCAATGTGTAATAACAGACGGTACACATGCTCAGATATCTGTTAAGAAGATTTAGTTACTAATTTTGAAGGACGATTTTTATTGTTTGGTGACTTGTATATTTTATAAAATGTGTCTCAATCTATATTCGTGTTCAAATTTTCTTTTCATTTTCAATCTTCCTAATATTCATTCTTTAAAATTATTTGCTTTTGACAGCAGAATACCATTTATTTGAATACCAGTTGTTTAAAACTGTTCCATTATCCAAATATTCAATTTTTTACTAAGTTAAAATATAAATCAGATTTCGTTTCGGTACTACAAAGTAAGCTAGGAAATTTAAAGCAAATATCGGAAAATCTATAACAAATACCTGCGGAAAAATAGATTTGACACTCAAAATCAAGCTCAGAATGGTAGAAAGGCCTAGATTCAAATCATTTTCTCAAACGGATATTAACAGAAATTGGCTAGTGGTTGCTGGTCCTCAGTAACACTGTGGTAGCCACCTGCTTATAAATGAGTTCCTGCTTGAAACCCAGAATTTAAATTTTCCTTCCGCAAAGATCATGATAAAGCATTAAGTTTAAATTTTAAATTGTGCAAAACGGTCTCTAAGTTTTCTACGAAATAATCTCATTTCTTTATTTTCAACACAATTTCAATAGTTAGAGACAATTCTGTACCATATCTTTGTTTTGTATTGCGAAGCTAACGGCGATTTTAATCCACGAATATTTTGAATACGTTTTTTATTAGCTTGACTTATATTCGCAGATATTGACGAATGTGAGCAATCCAACGTTTGCGAGCCCGAAGAAGTGTGTCTAAACACAAGAGGAGGTTACAAGTGTAATCGCATAATCTGCCCGCCCAACTACTTCAGAGATAAAGACCATAGGAAGTGAGTGTTTTTATTAATTTATTTATTTATTTATATACGAAACTGTATATCTATCCAGTGCACTTCGATTACCCAAAGCTTGTATATATCGAAATGAATGCCGAAATGTAGAATCCGAAATCGGTGTTTTCTTTCTCCTTTAGTTGAGGATTATTGAAGGTCGACTGCAATGCATAAGCTCACAAATTTATACTCTGTGAATAGATTACAATTATTATTATGCAAAAATTCTATCGTATACTTATATCGTATCGAGTTTTTTACAAGATGCGTTAGTCCATTAATTTAAGTAACGGTTAGATTAACCATATTCGTATATCAAGCGAAAGGAAGCAGGAAAAAAAAAAAAAAAAGTTGCATCTAATAATTCCACCAGGTGCTTTAAACGACGTTACTTTATTTGAGGTATTACACATGCATATTTAAGTAATAAATTAGGAAACAGAAACAAAATATTTTTATAAAACAGCAAAACTGAATGTACCTCAAATCATTGCCAATAATCGTCTTATTTTATTTAAATATTTCTCTTTGCAATTCCCGTGAATTTGGCTATTCTTAACTAATTGCGGCGCTACTTTCAGAGAATATTTCATCAAAATTTACGCCAAAATGATAAATAATGCATCCTGTTGCCGGAAAATGAAACAAACGCTTTTAGATCAGGAACAAGAAAATGAATAGAAAACCTTAAAATTTGAATCATTCGTTAAGTTTAAAAACTTGGGATAAATAGGGAAAGCTTAAATTAAATTCATTTCATTAAGAGAGGACATTACTTGAAAATTATCAGCAAAAGAAATTCGGTAGCTTAAAAAATTAAATTAAAGCAAGTGAATAAAATTATTTGTGAGAAACCCTTTTTTATTCTCTCTTATTTTCAAATTTATTATTAATCAATGTATATTTTCTTCTTTGTATAAATTGTACCTTTCTTCATAGCTATAAGTATGTTATGGCTTTTCAATAGATCAAATGTGAAAAACGATTCAGTTTGGCTTAAAGTTTTCGTCATATCGCCTTAATGCAATTATTCTCAAATTTTTTATTGATAATTCTCTTAATTGAACATTCGTGATCTTGTGAAATATATCTAGAACTTTCAGTATTATTGTACAAAAACTTACCTAGCAATTTGGAGCCTGCATGGTTAGTATTTTCCTCAATGTTCATAAAGATATGATTTTAGTGTTGACAGACACTTGCAAAAAAAATCTAAGATGTGCTATTCTGTTTCCAAAATGTTTTAAAAACTTAAATAAATTTATGTTCTATTTAAAGAAAAAAATTATTTATTTTTTACCGTTTTTTTCCATCAAAAAGTGAAAAGTGAAAGTTTTGATTTGCAAAATTATGACTTTGGGAACAGAATTTTTTTTTTAATATTTGCTTGAATTTGAAAATTTCGGTACACATCTTATGGTATTTTACGACACTTTAGCTAAAATTCTCCACCTTAATCTGATAATCCTAATGCGTGAAAAAATGTTTACAGAAATTTATGTTGTACTCAAAGCCAATTTTTTTATTTATTATTTTTACTTCTTTCTCTATCAAAAAGTGAAATATGAACACATTTTCCAAACTGTGTAGCTTTTCCTCTCGTTTTGCATCCTGTGCGGCAAAAGACTTGTTCAAAATACCCAAATTGACATGGGTTTAGGCTCAAGGACGGACTGAGGAAAGAGTATGAAGTGAAAGAAATCTGCATGATGCAATTTGTTAAAAATATATATCTTTAATCATAAATTATTTAAATAAATTGTGCTATTCAAAATTCGCTTAATCATTTGTTTCTAATGCTTTGCTGTAATTAGATATTATATTAATTTTATACTATTATTCTTCTTGCTTATCGCAACAAGTAAGTTTGCCAATTCTACAAATCAACCAGATATGAAAGGTCATAAAGTATCTAGCACCATAAACAGTATGTTACACAAACTTTCAAATTTCTTTAATTTAAATAACTTACACTGGATCCAAAAAATTGAATTAACACTACTCCAGTCAAAAGCCTTTTTTGTTCAACAAACGGAGCACTGTTACTTCACTACCAGTGGCCAGCTTTTTATAACTTCCACTTTTTTTTAAACTCAGATGAATTCATCATTGCTTTTGAATATGATAGAGACATGACGGATAGCTCTCGCTGTTTGACTTTCGCCGAATATCCTATTAATTAAGTAAATTTTCCTTTGACAAAATTTTGCACTTTTTTTTCAGTGAATTTCTTCCTGAATTTAAGTTAATTTTCTGTTGACTTCAAACGAATTTTACTTTGACTTCAAGCAAAGCTTCGTTTAGATATCAGATCTTAATATATATAATGAAAACAATTTTTTAATTTTAATATGTTCCAATGCATTATGGTGATAAAATATATGCTATTCTTTGTTTTGGTAAATGGTTTTTGTTGGAAAATGTTTCGGCAATAACCTGTTATGGTTTCACCTTAATTGACTTAAATTGCTTTAAGTCAATTGTCTGTATATTTTGTCTGTGTAAATTTAACATAAATCACACTGATTTTGATTTTCGTTCTTAGCCATCTGGACTGTTGTATTTGAGTAGTAATCATATCTTAATTTAGTTATTATGTGTTTTTATGAACAGACATCCAGTGAAAATATTTGTTTGTCCAAATGAGCATTTTAAATTGGTTGTGGAAGTAACCAGAGCCCAGTATGAATGCGATTTTACATTAGTAATCTCATAAAAAAAAATTGTCATATAAAACGCAACTTTACATGCATTACATTCGTTAGCATTTTTTGAAGTCTTCTTTGTGCTGCAAAGTTCGCTGTTCTAATATTTTATTTGCAAGCTTATTGTTATTTCCTATGACGTGGTCTTAACTATTTACTTAAGAGTTACTTTTATGTGATTTAGTAGTATTCACGGAAATTGTTACAGCTATTTCTTTGAGTAATTGCCAACAGAAAAAGGACGTTTATTCAAATTAGCGAGAAAAAAATTAACACATAACAAGGATATTATTCTGAATTATTTATACAGCAACATACATCTTGTCTTTTATGATCTAATATTTTTTCTTTCGCCTATGACATTAGTTCTGTTCAACACTGATATGTATGATAACTGATACCACTGAATGCATGTTTTCTTTAATTTACAATTCAACAAAATTCCATTTTTAGCTTATATCTCAAGAAACGTTTCTATTCTTTCGCTTGAAAATTATTATGTATAGTCAATTAACAGTTAGACTTGACTCTATATTTTGCATAAGCTTTTCTATGACGACTTCTATTTCAACTGTGAACGTATTTATAATTTTCTCAAACTTTCTAATATAATTTTTCAGGTTTTTCTATACCTTTCTACATAAGCCTTCATATGTTTTCATATAAATTATACCGTGTTTTTGTCAGACCTCCAACAAACGAAGAATTTGGCTTTTGAGCACTTCCTTAAATTAGCCTAAATTAGGCCTCAAATTAATTTCATTTTTTGAAGCTTTGATATTCAGCTGTTACTTAATGAATTTTGAATAGTTTCTAATTTCTGATGGAATATGACTCTGACAAAGACTATTAAAATAATTAAATTTGGACTTAGTGACTGCAATAGTTAGATACAATCAGTTCGAAATTCAGTTTACTGTGGAATCTTAAAGGAAAGCACATGGCAATGTAGGGCTAGCTGTAAACGTGCCCACTAAGTTTTTCTTATGCACAAGCTTTCCAGAGCTTAAAATCTCAATCACAAATCCCCCATATCGAAGATCTATAGATATAGATCCAGATTAATCACAGTGTTGAGAACTAATAAATGAAGCAAAAGTCAAATATATGCACCAGTCAACAATAAAGAATCCTTCTTTCTTCATATGGCATTCAAAGAATTCAGTTGTGAATTGTAGTGATGATGAAACTCTGGGACTGAGTTTCGTTGAAAATCTGAAAATAAAAATTCTATGCTGTAAGTGTGTGACGAATTATTACGGATCTATATGGAATAACTTATTAGCAAATAAATTCTGCTTTGTCGTTAGCCACCTCTTATCGTCTGTGTTAGAATATGATCTATCAATGCAAGCTGTCTCGCTAGTTATATAGATTCTTATATATCTATGGAAATAAATTCTTAATATCGCTTTGATTTACTTCCCTTAAATAAGCCTTGGAAAATGACAGCTGTAAAGCATGCAGTCGTTTCATCATTTTAAAGAGGCATACTTAAGAAAATATATTTTGTTCATATATTCCGAATAAACTTTAAAACTTAGGATAGAAGGAATATGGGTTTAAATACTAAGCACAAGGTCTTAGGAGTAACGTTTATGGTTAGAGAAACTCCTAAGTGAAAAGGATGTAGTTATTCTAGTTTTGATGGAAAGAAAATCTAGGTCTAACAATAGATTTTAACTTGAGAAACCCAGTACTAGTATTTTAAATGCGAACAAATAAATCGTGTATTAATTCTTTTATAATGGTGGAATATAACTTTTAAGCCTTAGATTACGAATTTAAAAAAAATTAGCCCGTTTCCTATCCAAGTAAACAAAATATGTCACAATAAGGAAAATTTAGCATTTGGGAATTTTTTAACAAACGGTTTTCAAGCTAAAGGCTGGGACACATACTATGTTCTAGCCGTAGTTAATGGACATATGTCCCAACACGTAGTGATCGACTTACTATAAGACTTATTACTCAATTACTATTATTCTCGAAAACTTTATTATATGAAATAGATTTTACATCGTATGGTACAGGTTAAAGCATTATTTGCATAACATTACACATTAGGCAACTCATATTTTTTTCTTTTCTCTATGTTCATTTATGTACGACGAGCACAAGCGGCATCTTGATTTTACAACTATTGGAAGATGATCCCAAACATTCAGGAGATTCTAAGGACTTTTTAACCCATCAGTAATTTTTAAACTTTTAGTGGGACACGTATGTCCCGTTAGTCAAAGGGTTAAATTACATCTGAAAAATAATTTCATTTCTATATATGTAAAAGAA